GGAACTATATTAATAGGTCTCATTTTATTCATGAAATGGCTTAGATTGGTAGAGAAAAAACATTCCATCAGATTGAATAGTTATATTCTACCTAATAAGTACCTTGTGTTAGCATTTGACAAATTACGTCCTGGATATCTAGTCCTTATTTGTTACCCGTGTCTACTATTTAGGCGGAATACCCTCATCCTGTTGTTTTTTGAGTTGGCATTTGAATAAACAACTAAGAACTCTCTGAATTGGGAAAGGAAACCAGGTATCTGAAAAGCTGCAGTCGCAATTGTTTTAGATTTATGGAAAAAGTAATTTCTGTTTTTTGTATTTGGTAACTTGGTAACAACTACTAAAATCTTTAGGTTCTTGTTTTGTATTTTATTTGGGGAAAGCTTGTAAAGATAACTATTTTGTGGTTTTGATTTTGTTTTTATGGATAAGGTAAAAGTTTTATTAATAAGGTAGCAAGATGGTACAAAATGTTACAAAGACCACCCCAGAAACAACCATCTCCTACAGTCCTAGTAAATCCAGAAAATCTATAAACTGTTGATCCACTGGTACACTGCTTTTACACCAATAAAACAGGTAATACATTTGTTTCTAATTCTGAAAATGTGATCCTTGTGTCCTTCAAAACAAGCCCGGTTCCTTTCCAGCCATAAAGTCCAGAATATGCACATTGCACAATGGTTTGGTTCTCCATATTTGCTTCAGTCTTCTAGGTACTCTTTGATTTTGCCACTCTTCCAACAAACTCCTAACGGTCTGTGGCATTACCCAAGAGATACCAAAAATGTTTAAGAACAAGTCCCAGCATTGTTTAGCAATTCTACAATGGAGAAGAATATGATTCACTGATTCTTGATCTCCTTCACACAGATAGCATCTATTACTTAGATTAAAACCCTTTTTTTTGCAAATTATCTTGTGTCAAACATGTTTTGCAAGCTGCTATACATCCAAAGCATGCCACCTTGACTGGATCTTTTTTCTTCCAAATCATCTTCCAAGGCCAATTGTCATCCCTGTGACTTGACTTCTTAATCTGCATATTATAGTAACAACTTTTGACTGGAAACTTTTTATACTTACCATCTGCCCAGATCAGTGCATCCACCTTACTATGACTAATTGAGACTGAGTCAAGCTGTTGAAGTAAAAGATAATAATCATCTACCTCCCAGTCGTTCAAGTTTCTTCTGAGCTCCACATGCCATCCTGTCTCTGTGAAAATCAGCAATCATACCATCCTTTTTAACAGAATAATTGAATAAATAGGATACTTAGATTTCAAGCATTCCTCCCCTAATTGGTTCAGTTGGTTAAAACTAATTGGTTCAGTTGGTTAAAACTAATTAGTTCAGTTGTCCTCTCCATTAGTCCTATTGAGGAGTGTGGAAAAGTACACAACTCCACTACATTCAATAGGGTAACTTGGCATTCTATTTAAGTTTAGTTTCTCGGTTTGATTTTATGCATCTGTAGTTTTCCTGTTTACTTGAGCACGGAGTATCATCCTGCTGTTTTCTTTTTTCTTTTTTCATTTGTCAGTAAGCTATCTCAGTATCTCACACGGTGAGTATATAGTTGGACATCCTCTGCTCGGGTAAAAATGCAATTTCTTTTATTTGACAAAATAGGATCCAGAAAAAAAATTAGGATAGGCTAGCATATGCTATCTGTTCAGTGAAGCTGGAAGATCATTTGGGATTGGATGCATGATTGTTATGCATATTTTACCTTGATGAGGCGGTTCCATGATTGTTATGCATGTGTCCATTCTGTTAAGGCATGTCTTTTGTTTTCATTATTAGTGTGTCTTTGGTAACACAATTACTTTCTTTCAGGCTCGTTTAAAGTTTTGTTTGATCATTTGATTTATTTTCTTTTCTGAAGGGGAACTGAGTGTGGGTGTGGGTTAAACATTTGTTCCATTTTGCAAATGTGATTGCTTTCTCTGTTATGAAAATGATGGATATATTTTGCTTTGTTCTTGAAGATTGACAATGGATTGGAGGATGATGAATCAGAAGGCTCCACTGATGAGGGTGATGAGTCATTAGATTTATCAAGGATAACTGAGTTGAGACTTGTGCCATCGGATCTTGATCAATGTACTTCATTCTTGCCCATTCTTTTTACTTGGGTTTTCCTTGAAATCTTTCATCTAGGATAAATGCCTTCTGCTACTTCAGCTCCTAAAGATATATTTGTATGTTCTATTTTGGCAGTGGATACTCTCTTCCAGATCTTTTGTGAATGTGCTGAGCTTAATCCTGAACCAATTGAAGGTGGTTATTTATTTCTTTGGACATACTCCAAACAAACGTCTTTTTTCTCATTTTCTTCTGCCCAGTCATGTTTCTACTTGACTAAACCCTGGTATCGCTTTTCCTAGGGGAGGAAGAAGAGCATAATTGGATATTCAGTGCAGATCAGCTGGAAAATCAGGAAGCTGGTATGGAATTGATAGGCGCTGGTTTGTTTTAAGAAAACAATTTTTGTTTTGCCAACTAACTTTTACTGTTATTGGTCTTACTTTTGAAGAGGAAGAATCTGAATGGACGTTTTCTCAGAATCTGACACATTCTATTGGTCATTCAAATGGAGATCACGACTTAGCTCATAATGTGCTGCAGGTATGCCTGTTGTAGATTTGGTTTGAGACTTGAACTTAAGAACTGTGATTATTCTATTGTCATTTGCCTTTTGTTTGGCTTGTTGGTAGGTGTTGGGTTTGGGTGGCATGGGAGATGAACAAATTAAATACTTAGTTTCTAGAGTAACAGGCAGAGGGTCTCACTATATATTTGGCAATCACTGTCAAGAATTTTAGAGCTCCTCTTGGCTGATTGTCTCAAGTAACTCATGTTTTTAGATGGATGCTAGCTAAACTATTATCAATAATTGCATGTGCAATTTCACTATAGCTCTGGCATATGCTGTGCCCTTCTATAATACACCTCGTCGTCTAAGTTTGTTTATTATTATTGTTATTTTTTGGGGCGGGGAGTGGTTTCAGGTCTATAAGAGTAGGTTGAGATATGAAAATAGAGCATCTTCATGCTTTCTGCTTTAGTTATTTCACATGAACTTCTAGTGCATATGTTGGCTATTTGTTGCTGGAAAATTGAGACATTTACTTTTCTTACTGCAGCTTCAAATTAATGATCAAAGGTTTGAAGATGCGGAGGAAATGGACAGCGACAGCAAAAATGGTCATCGCTAAGGCGTCACCATACTGAATCAGATTATCTTCTTGGGTATCATGATATCTCACAACGAACTTTTGATGTATATTAAAGTGTGTCAACCTGGTCCTGCTTATCACATTTCAGATGTTCTTGCGGAAATGTTGATTTTAATTTTTAGGTCTTTTGCCCAAAGATATTACATGATATTCAGGAATTATAGTTATTGCATATCAGAACTAGTGACCTATGAGTAGTGCGAGCCAAGACCACATAGCTTAAGTTGAAGGCAGCGTTTCTTGGTTTTTTTCCCTGTCTTGTGCCCTTATCGATTTTTTACCTGAGTTATGGTTATGACCTTAAAACTTCCAGGGATAGTGTGTACACTTCAATCTAGTTACTCAGTATCTCGCCTAAATAAGCAGTGTAAGTGGAAATCACAATTTTCTGGCCTTCTAGCTCTCCCTCTTCAAGTGCCTGACATTGTTACACTCAAGATTCTCTCAAGTTTCTTCCGGTTGTTTCGTGTTTGAGCTTCAAAAAATTTGCACATTTTGAAAAGTATTCCTCATCAATAAAATACATGGACCTTTAAGAAGTATGATCAGTGACAACCACATTCCTCATGTAGCTGCTCTAATTTACACATGCGAGTGCGTTGAAGAGCTTACTAAGATGAGAATTCTCAAGTACATAATTACTTTGAGTAAATGCTATTTTATTTTTTATATGAAATAAATGCAAACTCATAAGCTCTTTGACAGTATGACCCCGGTCTATTTTTAATATTTGCCAGATTCATAATAAGTTAGTACAGCTATTCGACACTTTTGTATTATGATCACAAAACAATTTACTTTTTGGGGATGTCCTTTCTGGTAGAATTAATACTTCTCCGTCACAAGTCACACAACATGAGCACAATTAGGATTCTGGTGGTGTCTGTGTATACGGTCCTACAAAATGACCCATCTTCATGTTGCTTTGACAAAATTTTGCTGCAAATCCTCCGTAGTCAATGGTCAATGTGCTGGAAAAATTAAACAACAGACATCAGCTGAGTTTTGATCGACTCACTTTCCAGAAATAGTCTGAATTCCAATCCTTACCCAGCTATCTTTCTTGGGCATGGGCACAAGATTCAAAAGCCAATTGGATAATAGCTTTAGACTCAAAACTGCAAACTTTCTCGCCACAAGTAAGCAATTATCATCTATCAACAAAATAGAATCAGAAATGTTTACTATTTGGGATCCACATCGTGAATGATGCATGCCTTTTGTGAATGCATCGTCTGTGTGCATGTTGCCAAACAACCTACCTTACTATGCCTTAAAATGAACAAGTGAGATTGTTCAGCAAGTTAAATAATCTTAGGATAACTTTGGGCTTTTGAATTTTGATCACTTTTGTAGAGTAAGCCGAAGATCTTTTGCACCTTCGGAGAACTAGCACCAGTGGAATTATTGAGGCATAAATTGGTTTTAGGCCTTTAGCTGCGCAGAGTTTTAAGATAGAATTAAATTGCTGGTTGACTTCTTACGTTCTTCGTCCAATAAAGAAGGGCCCGAAATACGTGATGTATCAACATGGAACAACTCAAAGTTCATGAGATAATGGGTAAGTCGCATTGTAATTGGATTTAATCACCTCCTATACGTTACTAAGAGTAAGAACTGATTCCTCCCC